AAAAAAAAAAAAAAAAGAAAAAAATATATTTTCCGTTGATCTATCCCAATTTTCATACTTGTTTTGGTGCGACGTCTTGTGATGTAGAAGGACGCGCGTTTACCTACTCCATCGGGCTCCGTATAGCGTGAGAGAGATGGTTAGACAAGCCCGCCTGCACGGCTGCGCGCGGTACAGTCTGCGAAATTTCCCTTGTGTGTGCGGCCTGTGCCCGATGATACTCCATACTGCTTCATAATGTCAAAATACTCGCGAATACTACTACTACTGCTGCAATTCACCCAGTAAGTACCATACTACTCCGTTAACGAGTCACGAGTCGGGCGAGTCTGCGCCCCCTCGCCGCCGTCTTGCGGGCGCGTAATGTTGAAGCCCACGGCCCACGCGGCCCCCCTCGAACTGCCTACCTGTGCGCGACGTCGTGCTGTCGCGCGGGGCGTCATGGCGGGCGGGCGGGCGCGATTTTTTTCGCAGCATCGGCAGAAATCGAAATTCCAGCCCTACGCGATTCCGCCACACGGCCGTCGTGGAGTGTGGGTTTTCATTTTTTTTTCTCTCTCTCTCCCCTAGTCGCGCGTGAGTAGTCGTATGAGCCATGTCCGAGGCGGAGGAACTCGTGAGGTCCGTCCTCCGCGCGCACAACTGCTCCGCGCTGGCGGCCCGCGCCCTGGAGCTCCGCGCCCTGGAGGCCCGCGTCGAGGCCACCCGCGCCGGCCTCCAGGAGTGCGCGCGCTTCTGCGCCGTGTACATGCACGGCCTGCTGCACATCGCCTTCAAGGACGTCGCGGAGCTGGACGAGTGCCACTGGCAGAGCACCGAGGCCGGCGTGCTGGTCGACACCGACGTGGAGGAGGCCCTGCTGGCCACGGCGGCGCTGGTCGAGGGGCAGCTCGCCCGGGGCCTGCTCGACAACTATCAGGTGGAGTCGGCGTCCTTTGTCAGCATGCTCCGGTTCCACGCCAGGGAGGCCGCGGACCAGAGGAAGGAAAAGCGAGAGAGGGGTGTCGGGCGACCGGCGACGAGCGAGGCGACGAGCGAGGCGACGACCCGCCCGGGAACCCCGAGCACGGCGACGGAGTAACGCCATGTAAGTACCAGTATTGTACCGGGTGGCTGATCAAACCCCGCGCACTGCCGCATTTAGGCTCGCTCAGCCCGTCGGGCGGTAGGCCAAGCCCGGTCAACTCTGTTTGACGGAAAAGGGGGGGGGGGAATTGTTTGGTTCTAGTGTACCGACACCTCTTGCTGCTGCTCAAAGCGACTTCGTCATTTAGCGACGTTTTTGTCACTGACTTTGTAGGCGGTAAGCACTATGAGTGGTTTATAAACAACCAGATCCGAGTGTGCACTTGCCAAATTATTTCAAAAAAGCGGGTGAGGGTGTGTGCAGTGTATTACTACACAATAGTGCACCAATTATCCATTGCGCATTCGGTAAATTACCGGAGCTCGGCGCCCGCGAGACTCGGGGTAGGCCACCCCGCAGTACACGCATGCACTGGGGACGAGATGTTGCCTACCTCGTAGGCGCGCTGTGGGGGTGCAGGGGGCGGCCTATCATTTAAGTGGATAAATGAACTTTATGCCCTAGCACGACATTTATAGTGTGACCCTTTCTTTCTGTTTGAAAGGATTATTGCAAGACAACGGGACGACTCCGGTCAGAAAGCTGTCGTCAACCTCATCAAGCTCATCTGGCCGCAGCAAGAAATTGGAACAAGACTTGGACTTGGAGCTTCAGGAGAAGAAGTAAAATATGGAATCAAGAATAATCGTATTTTATTATTATTATTAAAGTATTTATAAAGGGAATGGACTGGGAATTCTGTTATTAGTTTTGTGGTGTCATAATAATAAAAATTTTGTTCATGGGAACTTGTGTAACTCACGCACTGTAACCACATTGCCCAAACTAACACTATGGGGGTGTCCTTACCGCTGATGCAGGCGTACTTGAGGTGCACCAGCCCCGGCCCCCAGGCGCGGCTGCTCGCAAAGTCGCTGTTTAGGGTGAAGTTGCAGCCGCTCCTCCCCGAGCACCTGCGATCGTAGTTATTGTTATTATTGGTTGAATGCAGCGCCGGCCCGTGTGTCGTGCGAGAGAGGCACACAGCGGAGATGCAAAAAATCGAAACCGCCACAACATTTTCAAAATTTTCCGGAAAATTTCCGAAATGTTCCCGAAAATTTCCTGAGAATAACTGGAAACTTCCGAAATCTGGGAAATTTGTCATTTTCCAGGAAATTTTCCGTTTTTTCCTGAAATTTTCTGGGAAACTTTCCAGGGCTTCTGACCACGACTCGATACCTGCGGTTGACGGGCCGCCGGATGGTGCGGGGCCCGCTGGCGGTGTGGTTCCCGCCGCATGTCCTGTTGGCCCCCAGGAAGATGGAGGCGGCGTCCCTGGCCGAGAAGGAGGCCTCCAGGACGGCGATGGAGGAGGTGGCGGTCGGGTCCAAGGCCAGCAGCAGGCCCTGCTCGGGCGAGCGCGAGCGGCAGGTCAGCTGGAAGGCGGTGTCCGGGCAGCCGTACTCCTCCAGGATCTCTGTTTCCAGAAAATTTCAGAAATAAAGGGAAAAAATATCGTGGAGAAAATGGAAAATTTCCCAGACTTCGGAGAATTCCCGCTACATTTTTCGGAAAATTTTGGAAATTTCCAACCCTAGGACTGTCTATAAACGTATATAAAGTAACAAGAAAGAGAAACTTTTCACCGAGTGGAGTGCAAATACTCACCTATATCGGCGGCGCAGAGGTGCGCGGCCGCGAGGAGCAGCGCAACCAGCGCGGCGGCCATGATGTGGGCGGCGGAGGGGTCACCGGCTCCTCCGTCGCCTGGTGTCGCAAGAGAATGGGGCTGATCTGCGACGTCGTGCGTGTGAATAGGGTCCCTGGAAAGGTTTCGGAAAATTTCGGGAAAATTTCCGGGGAAAAAAGGAAAATTTCCCGAACTTTGGATATTTTCCGCTTTTTTTCCGGATAATTTCTGGAAATTTTCAACTCAACGTGTGTAGCATGAGCTGCTGATCGGACAGTTCGTTGTGCAGCAGCTGATCGAGCGTGCGTAGGCAACGGTGGTATACGCAACGTATGGCGTATGGCCTGTTTGGAGGGCAATCGTGGAGGTTGGAGGGAGGAGAATACGAGGGGAGTTGGTGGTTCAAACCCTACCCCCGCCCTCTCCCCCTCACACTCAATAACGGCCGTACGTACTGTACGTAATGTCAGATCGGCAACAATCTCGAAGTGAAGTAAACACATACGATTTTGAACAAACCTTTTTTGGGGGCGAGGGGGGGGGGCGGCACCCTAACGTACGACTGAAGTAAACTTTTACTTCACTTTCCATATGCACCGCGTTACCGCAGAGTTACCAGGGTCCTTACACCCACTTCACAAATATGTAAGCCCCGGTCCTCAATAATTATTAATTTTAACCCCAACGACAAGGCGACCCAAACGCGCAAAACTTGCAGTGCCCTGACCCTGAGGCTCCTCGACAACATTCACTCTCGCCTCTCTCGCGGGGAGTGCGCTCGGTGCACTCTCGAGACTCAAAGGAAGCAGGGTTCCGGCCCTGCCCCCCCCCCCCCCCCCCCCCCCCCTGTCTGGTGGCGATAGCGGAACTGCTGAGCTGACAGACCAGCCAGGACTAGAGCCGAGTACTATACTACC